TGCGCACGCCGTAAACATCAAAGGTTTTCGGGATCCAAGGCGGGAGGTGGGGGGATGGAGGGCCAGACTCCTGCCGGGCTGCCCCGCCTCGGATCCCGAATGTTTCTTGGCAGTCTCACAAGTTGTTTTGTTCCTTTGTTTTTCTTGTAATCTCAAAAGTTCCGTGGCCCAACATACAGGAAACCGGTGTGACGACCACCCCCCCCAAAAAAAAACTGTGAGACTACCAAGAATTATCCTGGCGAAGGACCCAACCATATGCAATTGTGAATAACGCTTTGTGGGTGCCGCTTTCGGTGGGGCTCCCTATGGGGCCACGAAAGGCGTGCCACGAAACGTTGTCCTGGGCGTGCGGGACGCATGCGGGCGGTAGCACTGGGGCCTTTGGTGGAGGTCCCTATGGAGCCACGAAGCGCTGTCCTGGGCGTACGGGACGCATGCGGGCGGTAGCACTGGGGCCTTCGGTGGAGCTCCCTATGGGGCCACGAAGCGCTGTCCTGGGCCCTCGGCGACGAAACGTGTGAGGGGTGTGCCGACATGAATGCGGTGCCGCCATGCCAACGCAGCCGCTGGGGCTCTCGGTGGAGCTCCCTATGGGGCCACGAAACGTGTGAGGGGTGTGCCGAAATGGGTGCGGTGCCGCCATGCCAACGCAGCCACTGGGGCCCTCGGTGGAGCTCCCTACGGGGCCACGAAACGTGTGAGGGGTGTGCCGAAATGGGTGCGGCGCCGCCGTGCCAACGCAGCCACTGGGGCTCTCGGTGGAGCTCCCTATGGGGCCACGAAACGTGTGAGGGGTGTGCCGAAATGGGCGCGGTGCCGCCATGCCAACGCAGCCACTGGGGCCCTCGGTGGAGCTCCCTATGGGGCCACGAAACCGGCCACTGGGGCCCTCGGTGGAGCTCCCTATGGGGCCACGAAACCGTGCCAACGCAGCCACTTGGGCCCTCGGTGGAGCTCCCTATGGGGCCACGAAGCGTGTGAGGGGTGTGCCGACATGGGCGCGGTGCCGCCATGCCAACGCAGCCACTGGGGCCCTCGGTGGAGCTCCCTATGGGGCTACGAAACGTGTGAGGGGTGTGCCGGAATGGGTGCGGTGCCGCCATGCCAACGCAGCCACATGGGCCCTCGGTGGAGCTCCCTATGGGGCCACGAAGCGTGTGATGGGTGTGCCGAAATGGGTGCGGTGCCGCCGTGCCAACGCAGCCACTGAAGCCCTCGGTGGAGCTCCCTATGGGGCCACGAAACGTGTGGGGTGTGCCGGAATGAGTGTAATGCCGCCATGCCAACGCAGCCACTGGGGCCCTCGGTGGAGCTCCCTATGGGGCCACGAAGCGTGTGATGGGTGTGCCGAAATGGGTGCGGTGCCGCCATGCCAACGCAGCCACTGGGGCCCTCGGTGGAGCTCCCTGTGGGGCCCCGAAGCGTGTGAGGGGTGTGCTGTGATAGTGGGAGGAGGGAGAGGGCAGAGGGAGGAAGGAAGGAAGGAGTGAACGCGGGGCGCTGTCTCTTCAAAACGAAGACCCAACACTACAGGATGGTTGGGAACAAATCAAAGGTCTTCGGGATCCGAAGCTGGGGAACCTGCAAGAGTCCAACCCTCCCCCCTCCGCCTCCCGCGTAGCATCCGGGAAACCTTTGATTTTCAATGTTTTGGTAGTTTGACAAGTTTCTTTGTTTTGTTGGTGGGCGATGGATAATCTCACAGGTTTCGTGGCCCAGCATGAAGGAAACCTGTGGCTGTCAACCAATCAAGTCCAGCGGGAAACCAATAATCCTTGAGCCTCTTTACAAAACCCAAGAAGCTTCGCGCGAAAGAAACGACCCCCTCGTCTCTCGTTTTTTTCCCCCAACCATCCTGTAGTGTTGGGCCCTCGTTTTGAAGACACAGCGCCCCGCGTTCACTCCTTCCTTCCTTCCTCCCTCTGCCCCCTCCCTCCTCCCACTATCACAGCACACCCCTCACACGTTTCGTGGCCCCATAGGGAGCTCCACCGAGGGCCCCAGTGGCTGCGTTGGCATGGCGGCACCGCACCCATTTCGGCACACCCCTCACACGCTTCGTGGCCCCATAGGGAGCTCCACCGAGGGCCACAGTGGCTGCGTTGGCATGGCGGCACCGCACCCATTTCGGCACACCCCTCACACGCTTCGTGGCCACATAGGGAGCCCCACCGAGGGCCCCAGTGGCTGCGTTGGCTTGGCGGCACCGCACCGATTTCGGCACACCCCTCACACGTTTCGTGGCTGAGGGAGCTCCACCGAGGGCCCCAGTGGCTGCGTTTTGGCGGCACCATAGGGAGCTCCACCGATTGGCTCGGCACACCGCACCCATTTCGGCACACCCCTCACACGTTTCGTGGCCCCATAGGGAGCTCCACCGAGGGCCCCAGGCACCGCGGCACACCCCTCACACCTTCGTGGCATAGTGGCTGCGTTGGCATGGCGGCACCGCACCCATTTCGGCACACCCCTCACACGTTTCGTGGCCCCATAGGGAGCTCCACCGAGGGCCCCAGTGGCTGCGTTGGCATGGCGGCACCGCGCCCATTTCGGCACACCCCTCACACGTTTCGTGGCCCCATAGGGAGCTCCACCGAGGGCCCCAGTGGCTGCGTTGGCATGGCGGCACCGCACCCATTCGGCACACCCCTCACACGTTTCGTGGCCCCATAGGGAGCTCCACCGAGGGCCCCAGTGGCTGCGTTGGCATGGCGGCACCGCACCCATTTCGGCACACCCCTCACACGCTTCGTGGCCCCATAGGGAGCTCCACCGAGGGCCCCAGTGGCTGCGTTGGCATGGCGGCACCGCACCGATTTCGGCACACCCGTCACACGCTTCGTGGCCCCATAGGGAGCTCCACCGAGGGCCCCAGTGGCTGCGATCGCATGGCGGCACCGCACCCATTTCGGCACACCCCTCACACGTTTCGTCGCCGAGGGCCCAGGACAGCGTTTCGTGGCCCCATAGGGAGCTCCACCGAAGGCCCCAGTGCTACCGCCCGCATGCGTCCCGTACGCCCAGGACAGCGCTTCGTGGCTCCATAGGGAGCTCCACCAAAGGCCCCAGTGCTACCGCCCGCGTGCGTCCCGTACGCCCAGGACAGCGTTTCGTGGCACGCCTTTCGTGGCCCCATAGGGAGCCCCACCGAAAGCGGCACCCACAAAGCGTTATTCACAATTGCATATGGTTGGGTCCTTCGCCCGGATGTGTTCTTTTGTTTTTTGTTTTCTCTCTCTCTCTCTCTATGTCTCTCTCTCTGTCTCTTTCTCTTTTTTTTTCCTCTCTCTCTCTCTCTATATATATATATATATGTGTGTGTGTGTTCCTTTTCCGATATTTTTGCAAGCCCGGGCGGGGGGGAAACCCGCCCCCCCCCAAAAAAAAATAACGGGACTCCCGGGATCTGGGGCTTTGGGACCCTTCGGACGGGCCTCGAAGCGGCCTCCCGGGCCTCGCAGGGCGTTTTGCCAAGCCTTCGCAGCAGACCTAGGGCGATCAGGGGGGTCATCGAAGACGTCCCAGAAAAGCCCAAGACAACCAAGAGCGCTCCAAGAAGCCGTCATTCCCCAAAAGATCGCTCCAAAACGTACCAAGAGGCCTGCAAGAGCACCCCCAAGAAGGCCCCAAGAGGGAATAACAATCGACTTAGTATAGGTTTTTGGTGAATTTCGGGTTCTCGTCTTTTCGGCTTCCCGACGCTCCAAGACAGCGGTCTTCTAGGCGTCCGAAGTCGCCTGGGAGGCTCCAAAATCGCCCCGCAACCATCTGAAAGGGCGTCCAGGCAGTCCAAGAGAGCCCCAAAACGGCAAGATGGCCCCAAGACACCCTCCGAAGCATTCCAAATCGTGACCGGGGCGTTCAGGGAGACTGCGGTTAGAGGCAGGTTGGCCTTAGGAAGCCCCAGAGGCCCCCAGAACACGCCCAGGAGGCCTCCAGAAGGCTTTCTATGAAAGCCTGAGAACTTTGGTGAGGTCCCCAGAGGCTCTCCAAGGAGGAGCCCCCGCAAAATGAGCTGAGGAGGATGGGGAGAATGCCCAGGGTATGGCGAGAATGAGGAAAAATAAGCATGGATGAAGGATAACGAACAACATTATTATAACGGCGATGCCAGAAAAGGCGGCAAGGAGTTATCGCAAAATTGTCCGCTTGACCTTCTTGCCATTTCCGCCTGCATACCAATATTCAAGGACCAAGGTGCATGGCGCGAAGCGCCACTGCAGTCTGGTATGTATGTATATATATATATATGAACATCTATATATATATATGTATATATATATATATATATATATATATATATATATTCACATATATATACACCTCTCTCCCTCTCTCTCTCTCGTTTTCTCTCTTTGTTTCGATATTTCTCTCTCTCTCTCTCTCTTCCCCTTCTGAAAACACTGGAAATAACCAGGAATCGGTAGGAACCAGGACGAATCAGTAAGAATCAATAGGAATCGACTGGAACGAATAGAAACCATCGTAAATCAAGAAGAATCAATCTGAACAATCCCGATCATCCACCAGGAAACATTCGGAATCAACAAGAAACAATCGGAACCAATGCACACCAATAGGAATTGATATGAATCGATTGGCTTCGGTAGCAACCAATAGGAATCAATAGGAATCCATATGAAACAATCGGACTCCGTAGGGATCAGTACGAGTCAATCGGAATTATCAGGAATGGATCACGTGTAATCAGTAGGAAGTAATCGGAATCGATAGCAATCCATAAACTTGATCATTTGGGATCAATCAGAATCAACGAGAACACACCAATGAAACCCAACAGGAAATTCATAATCCTTGCGACTCTCCCAAAAACCACAACCATCGCGGCCGAGAAGACAACAGAGCAGACGGGAAGAAAAGATGGGATGAGGCACGTCCCTGTGCCCAGGGGTACCGTATACACACACAATGACCCCTGACCCTCGCCCCCCTCCTGGACGCCTCCGATCGTTTCAGCGTGTCTTGACTGCACCCGCCTGGGCGCGTGGTGGTGGTGCGTGACGATCGCCACGCGCGGCGCCTGGGCCACTCCGGCGGCGAGCCGACCCCGGGCGCAGCCGCCCCGCAGCAGCGCCCGGCAGACGGCGGCCGCAATGCCCTGCGCGTAGACGCGGGCGTCGGTGGTGCGCTGGTCGACCAGGCGCCTGTGCTTTCTTCTCTGCCCTGGGGCCCTGGCGTCTGAAGTTTTTTGAGCCCGGCGTTGTGGCCTGGCTCCGGGCCCTGGGGCCCTGACGGATCGATCCGGCTCGCGAAGAGGCGCGGGAAGATGGGGTCTAGGAGTCCAGCTGTGTGTTTTTCCTCGGCGTTCACAGTGTTTCGCGCCGTCGGAGTCCGGGGCACGTTCTACGAGGAGAAGCATACTACTACGATGTGCTCCTTATGGAGGCGCACGTCCGACACGAACGTGTAGCACAACGGTATGATGGCACATGGTCTCCCGAGCGGTATGGCCAGAGAGCGCCCTCGGAGCACGCGCGTCGCTCTTGCGGGGCCGACGCACACATATGAACACAACTGATTAGACACAAATAACAAGCTACACAACTAACTTGACACAAATAAACATACAACTGATAGACACATAAGCATACAACTACACAATTATACAACTAACAAGTATTGAAGGGGCCGAGGGACACACAACTAAGTAGATACAAGTAGCATCATTTCCCATATGTTGCCATACTTTCCGGGTGTCTGTCTTCCCCCCCACTTCCTATCTTTTCGCATATGTTCCTGGGAGTCGACGATTACTTGTGTCTGTGTGTTTTTTTTCCCCTCCTGAACATAATAAAATGGGCGCTGGGTTTTCCATGGGCCAGACGCAGTGGTGATGACCACTGCCAGCTTCGCCACTGAGGGAAACGGGGCTCCACCACGGGAGGCACCGATCATACATGGCGGCTGCTGGAAACCTCGGCGGTGGGCAAACCTCCCTTTGGTAAGCCACGCTTCAATGAAAACGGCCTGGGACCGAAACCAGCGGCCCTGGACCCGCAAAAATGACGGCCGCGACGCCCTCTCGCGAACCGAACACGGCCAATTCGCTAATCGACATGTCAGGGTAGGAGGTCTATCAACCTCCGAAAACCTGGAACCCAAAAACAAAGGGAAGATTCTTACTTCCGCCGGTGTCCGCTGGCCTTCGGCCAGCTTTCGCTGGCCTTCCGCCACCCTTCCGCCGAGGAAGAGAGGCCGACTCCGTCGATCCTCGAAGGCGAGGCCCTTTCTGAAACGCTCCACATATCACCCCCTGGATTAAAAAGTCCGGATCGGCACTGCAGGCCCCCTTGCATCGTCGCTCCCCGAGAGGTAAATATGACTGGCAAGAAGTACCAAACAGAATCGCAACTTCCAAGCAACATAACTGGGACCAGAAATTTATTTGCGAGGAAGTCCCAAGCGAAATCGCCAATTTTCGGTCGCTACTGAGAATTTCTGGTCGCCTGAAAAGCGTCCGGAAATTTTGTTTGAGGAAGTATTAGGCGGAATGCGGATTTCCGGTCGTCACCTCATTTGGCGATTATAATATTAGAGGGGGTGAGGATGGAGCGGAAATTTAACCATGGCGGCCCCTGCAACATTGTACCGGGGCCCCGTGGCCTAACGGGAGCCGAACATCAAGGCTTATTCCCCGACCTCTGCGGTCCAGATTTTTTATTCCAGGGGGGTGTAGGGGAAGGAGGAGGAGGAGGAGGAGGAGGAGGAGGAGGAGGAGGAGGAACAGCAGCGGGAGGAGGAGGAGGAGGAGGAGGAGGAGGAGGGAGCGGAGAGGAGGAGGAGGAGGAGGAGGAGGAGGAGGAGGAGGAGAGAGGAGGAGAGGAGAAGGAGCGGGGAGAAGGAGAAGGAGCGGGGAGAAAAAAGATCGGGAGGAGAGAGCTCCACATAGGAAGAGGAGGAGGGACGGGGGAGGAGGAGGAGGAGGAGGAGGAGGAGGAGGAGGAGGAGGAGGAGGAGGAGGAGGAGGAGGAGGAGGAGGAGGAGGAGGAGGAGGAGAAGAAAGAGGAGGAGGAGGGGAGAAAGGATAAGCGCGCTGCGTGGGCATCCCCGAGACCAGGCGCCTGTACTCGTCCGACTCCTCGAATTCCTCGGCACGCCGACGACGACGCCGCCGACGACGATGATGCCATCGCCACCACCGCCGCAAACGACGACGACGAAGACGCCGCCACCGACGACGACGACGAAGACGCCGCCACCGACGACGACGACGAAGACGCCGCCACCACCGACGACGACGACGATGACGACGACGACAACGACGTCGACGACGACACCGACGACGCCGACGACGAAGGCCGCCGCCGACACCGCCGCCGACGACTGGCTGGCTGCCCACAAGAGATGTGGGAGGAGAGGATCCTCGAGTTGTGTTGCTCCCATCGTACTTACGGATCACATCCCAGAAATAAGTTCGAGCACCCAGAAAAGTATCGAAACAATGTCGAACGAGTATCGCCTCCCAGGGCCCGACACGCGAACACCCTCAAGTTTCGGTACTTTCTTGGTGCTCGGAAGCCTTTCTGGTGATCAGGGCTAAGACAAGATGGAACATCACAAGCCTCGAGGAGCTGGAGGACTCACAGCCCGGAATCTCCCGCCGCTGCCCGCGCGCCCGCGACGCCGGCTGAGGGCGGGTCACGCTGCAGGTTTGGGGAGGCCGTCCGCCCCAGCGCGCCGATCTCCGCGCGGAATCCGCGCCGAATCCACGTCGAGCCCGCGACGGATGCGAGAGGGAATATCCATCGGTAGGGAGAAGTGGGTAGAAGCGTGAAGTAGGAAGGCGTTGAAGGAAGATTGGGTTCCGTCCGCCCCCCGAGGAGGACGGACAAGGTGAAGCCGCTCGATCATTGAAGTAGGAAGGCGCTCAAAGTAGATTGGAATCTGGGAATCCAAAAACACCTCCTGTCGACGACCGATGGGCAGCAATTCGCGGGGCAGAAGAAAGGGCCTCCCGAAGGTGCAATGCAAGGCAGGCGATCCCCTTTCAGGCAGGGCCGCAGGGGGCCACGAGGCAGGGGGGGGGTTCGCCATGTCTTCCATGGGGGTCGATCTTGGCCTCCCGGATGGGGTTAGAGAAGACTCGGGGATGGACAGACTCCCCTTTAGCAAAACGTGGTTTAGTGAAAACGACCCGAGGCCCAAACCTGGCGGGCGCAAACCTGGAAAATAACGGCCACGGCGTCCTCTCGAGAACCGAAAACGGACAATTCACTAATCGACGTGTCACTGCTGGGGGTTCTGTCCACCCTCGAAAGACGGCGCTGGCAAGGGTACTCCGGACATCATAATAAAGTGAGCGGGGTCACATTTGAGGGGGGTCTGATTTGAGCCGTCTTGGAGGTTTCGGGGGGGGTCTGGACAAAGGGCCGCCCTTTCATGGATGGTCTGGGGGGGGGGTCCAAAACTGCTCGCCTGGGAGGGCTCTGACCCCCCCCCTCCCTTTTATCACGGCATCTGGAATCGTCCTGGTGCTGCTGGGGCCCGATTTTCTCCCCAGGACGACCAGCGGCGGCCCACAGAATCCTCCTCCTCCTTCCTCCTCCTCCTCCTCCCCCCTCCTCCTCCTCCCTCCTCCTCCTCCCTCCTCCTCCTCCCTCCTCCCTCCTCCCTCCTCCTCCTCCCTCCCTCCTCCCTCCTCCCTCCTCCCTCCCTCCTCCTCCTCCTCCTCCTCCTCCTCCTCCTCCTCCTCCTCCTCCTCCTCCTCCTCCTCCTCCTCCTCTACTAGATAATGCGTGCGGTGGTCCGCCCAGGCTTCCTGGGCAGGCGCCCGGTGCACCCGCCCACCGGCGCGCGACGGGCGGCAGAGGGGCGGCGCGGGAGGCGGCGCCGGGGGTCCGGCGCCGACCACCGGGGCTCGACGCGTCGGCTAAGAAGCTTAAGGGTTGAGTCGGACGTGCCCCCCTACAGGGGGAGTTTCGACGAGGAATAAAAAATGCGCAAGACATGTGCAAAAATGATCCGAACTTACTTCAAAAAACAGTCCCTGGGCTACTTTTTGGCTGTTTTTGAATATTCCGCCTGTAAAGGGACGGGCCCGACTTGAGCCAAGGGCGCCGGGTCAGCACAGCCCCGGGTCGGCCGGGGCCGCGTCGGGAAGCCTGGCCGACCGCTTCGCTCCGCGGCTCCCAAGCCTCGGCCCGCGGAGAGCGGGGGAGCAGGGCCGGCTCCACGTGGCTCCCGGGTCAGCCAGAGGACCTCGGAGGGGATTGGCCGACCCCAGTCAGCGGGCCTGTCCCCCTACAGGGGGATTTTTCGACGAAAAACAAAAAATACCCCAAAAATAATCAAAAGATAATCCAAAAGTAATCTGGGGACTATTTTTCCAATCTTTTTTTTGTAAAAAAAACAACTTTTTGGGATATGTGTGGGGTATGTTTCATTTTTCGTCGAAAATCCCCCTGTAGGGGGACACGCCCGACATCACGCTGACCCCCGCCACGTGCACCGCGCGGGGGTCCCAGGCCCCCGACGGCGTGACTCTGTTCACAGCGTCGGCCCTCGGAGGTCTGGGCCCCTTCCCTGGGACCGGGTGTTTCCTCCCGCCTCCTCCTCCTCCTCCTTCTCCTCCTCCTCCTCCTCCTCCTCCTCCTCCTCCTTCTCCTCCTCCTCCTCCTCCTCCTCCTCCTCCTCTCCTGGAGGCCGAAGATGGCGAAACACCGCCCGTCGTGGTTTTCGTCCACAGCGCGAGGCGGCCTGGGGCCGTCCCGCGCCGCCCCAAAGAGGTGTGTCCGGTGCCGGGGAGGTCCAGCCCCGCTGCGGGGTTTCGGGGGCGCGCAGGCATGGATCAGCGACCCACAGCTATAGGGGAACGAGCAATGACGCAAACGTAGAAACTCGGAGGCCCGCGCGGACTCCTCGGATCGGCGCCGGGAGGCGCCGCCAGGGGGGTCCAGCACCGAGCCGAGACATGGATTAGCGATGGGCGCGCGAGCATGGGAGAAGCTTGTCCGTATCCACCGCCTGGGCACCCTGGAGGCAAGCAGGGTGTTTCTTTCGCGGGGGCGCGCAAACATGGGGGAAGCTTGTCCGTATCCACCGCCTGGGCACCCTGGAGGCAAGCAGGGTGTGTCTTTCGGGGGCGCGCAAGCATGGATTATAGCGATCCAGGGATCTGGCGCGCGGTCGCCAAATCCATGGATCGGGGGAGGTGCCC